TATATATTATAAAATATAATAAAAAAATAATTAATGATAATGATTTAAAATAGAAAAGAAAAATAACAAAATTTTATATGAAACAAATTAGTAATCAAAATATAGTAGACAAATGAAAATATATTTTTCATATATTCTAATTTTCAAATATTATTAAATTGTTTAGAATTTCTTTAATTATTCTTTTATCAAATACATAAATTTAGAAAATATTTTCTTAGCATAAACTTATAAAAATTCAGTTAATAATATTAAATTGAATTGTTAAATTAATATTTAATAATGATACTAATAAACAGAATGATTTTTATAAATTTGATTAAAATAAGAATAAAGTATTTAATAATTAGGTAACAAAAATATGACATTTATATTAGATATTATAATATATAGAGATCAGTTAATAATTAAATAAAATAATGAATAATCATAAAATTTTTGTATTATAAATTATTTTTTTATAATTGATGGAATTTTACAAAAAAAATAAATATTTAAATTTTTGATAAAATTTTATTGATTTATTATTAAATATTCAATCTGTTTATCTAAATAATTTCAGATATAATTGATTGATAAAACCTATTTTGAATTTGTCAAAATGTCTAAATTTCTAGTTTCAACAGATTTTAATAAGTTTTTAATATAGTTTTGACTATTTAATATAGTTTAGCAGGTTTTGATCAATTTGATAGGTTTTGATAGGTTAGTTTATATGATTTTATTAAGGTTTTGATATTTTTAATATTTGATGGTCTGTTTAAACTCAGGAGTTTTATCAATTAACTATAATTTTAGATTAGATTATTAATTGATTTGATTAATTTTATATTAATATAATAAAGTAAATTTCAGGATAATTACATCTAAACAAAGCATTACAAAATTAATAGTAATTATATCCAAATAATAATGACCTTAAAATCAATAAGTAGTAGATGCTAATTACATTCCTTTTTTAATTTCTTATAGATAGGTTTTTATTATTTTAAAACTTTAATTAATTTATGTTTAAGAAGCAAAAATATTTTTAAAAATAAATAAAAAAAGAATTTATCATTAATTTCAAGTCATCAGTATCCCTAAAAATATAATAAAAAAATATTAATATTATTTTAAAAATAAGAATAAGATAAATAGTTTAGGGAAATAAATCTATTATTAATTTCAAATTATTCTAAATTCCAGAAGTGAAGTAATTTATAAAAAGATAATAAAAGAGAAACAATATTAATATTATTTCAAAAGTAAGAATAAAATAAAATATAATCAAGAAAAGAATCTATCACTAATTCTAAGTCATCTTAAATTCTAGAAATAAAATTGTTTCTAAAAAGAAAAAGAAAAAAAAAATAATATCTTTATTGTTTCAAAAATAAAAAATGATAAAAAAAATAAATAAAATAAAACTTATTAAATTTTAAGTTATCCTAGATATTAAAATTGAAGTTATCACTAATAAAAATTTAATGGAAATTAAATTTTTTATTTTTAGAAATTTCAATTTCAATTTTATCGATATTAATTTTATTGGGAACTAATCTAATCTGATATTATATAAGATCTTTTTCAAAATTATGCATATATTTAATTCAAGGTATAGTTAGTTATATACAGTTTATCTATATTCTATACTGAAAAATTTTACAAATTGTACACTTATTTACATAGTAAATTAATTATCTTTTAAAAAATTAACACTAGTAATAATGATTACTAAATTAAATATAACGTTATAATCCTTTAATAAAACACATTCTTTTATTTATTTTTTATAATATTTTTGTAATTCACTCATATGTAACATTATAATAATTTATTAAATTCTTATATATAAATGAATTCAAATTTAGCATTAACTCATTTTTGATTTTCCGGCAGTTTCCCTCTTAAAATGCCATGATTAATTTATTATCTTTAACACTGATAGCAGTAGCAGTTAAAAAAACATTATCAATTTATTTTGAAGTTTATGATATAATAAACTCAATCTCTTACCTGAAAATAGACATTCCATTTTTTAAATAGAATATAAACTATGTTTATCAATAATATTAAATAATAATAAAAAAAAAATTTATTTTTTTATTATAATAAAAAATTATATATTATTATTCTAAACTTGATAATTGTTAGTTTTAATTTTTGTTGGTTTTAATTAATTTAATATAAACTATATTTATCATTAAGATTTAATAAATTCTAAATTGATTTAATATAAACTATATAATAATCATTAAGAATTAATTATAATAAAAAAATTATATATTATTATTCTAAACTGATTACTCTATTATCCGTTTTTTCGCGTTTCACTACATATACACATTCAACTTTCTTTAATGTCGGCCGGCCGGCCGGATATTTTTTTATCTTTACAAAATTCCTTCTCGGCCGGCCGGACACCTTCTCTACAAAATTCGCATGCAGTTAACACTTGCCTTTATTGCAGTATTCGCAAGCTGTTAACATTTGCGTTTATTCCTGCAGCTCCACTGACGAATTTCTAAACTAGTTTCTTCTTAAGACCTAAACCCTCCGAAACTAGTTTCGCCTCAAACCAAAACACTCCTAAACTAGTTTCGCCCGAATCTTAAATGCCGTGTTCCAAATGCATATCAACAGCCGTTTATTATAGTCAACTCTCTATAAACACGCATAATTAAAATTGTGTATTTAGAGAGAGTGCACAGTTGACTGTGGTTGAATAGGCAGTATGTTAAAAGACAATACCTTTAATTAGAAAGATAAATAAAATTAGTTTATGTAAAAATTCAACAAATTATTATTAAAAAAAGTAATGATACATAAGATTTCCCGGAAAGGGATGATAATTGTATGTTGGCGAAAACGAAATTTTTGTAAAATAAAAGGTACTTACTTCATATATTTCTTGTTCTCTAAGTTGAACAAGTGTTGACGATGGCCTTGAAATGACCTCGAAAGATTCATGGCCTCAATTTTATTATATTTCAAGTCGAAATGACAAGTCATTAAAATATGGTAGGTGGCCTTGTAATTTACAATTTTCGTTTAGTGAAGGAAGATAAATAAAAGATTTTTTTTTTTGTAATGATTGTTTATTGAAGCGAAGGACTATCTTTATACTTCTAAGCACGGTGACACAGAATGTCCTGTCCTCCCGCTCAAAAATTGAGTCGATACATGATTGGTCTCTTTCGTTACACATGTGCTCTTGACTTTTAACAACGTCGTTTCATCTTTACAAAGACTGTTTGAAATTAAAAGATTCACATATTTAGATCGTGCCTTTTTTGCCAATATGGGAGGTTTAGGAAAATGGGGCTCTGAGCATTTTTTATTAAAAATTTAATTTTATTGCATTTTAATTTTTGATAATGTTAGATTAAAATGCAATAAATATTAAATTTTTAATAAAAAATGCTCAGAGCCCCATTTTCTTAGTAAACCTACCATATTGTAAAATCTTGAGGGGAATAATCAAAATTTCTTTTTTCTGATTGATTTAATTTATCAATGATTTTCACGATTTTCATGGATTTCAAAAATCTTTTCTCACACGCGTAAATTTCATTATTGCCAATTCGGGATCGTCCCCATTTAGCTGCCATTTTTGTCGGATAGCATAGCATGTAAACAAAGAATTTATGTTTCAAGGTATAGTAAAATTTTAATTTAATATTCCATTCCATTTATCGAACATATACAAATGATGGTCGTTCATGTTATCTAGATTTCATTTAATCAAGAAAAGGACAAAAATCGTCATGGTCGAATTTCCAACCTTTTTCGTTTATATATAATAATATATTTACGGTAAAAATTATTGACAATCAATCGACAAAGAAAAAAATATGATACAAAAAATCTTTGTTTTCCTGAAAATTAAAAATAATTAATTACGCCTTGATAAATATTTGAGAGAATCAGTTTAATCTTTTTCCGAAACTTATTTTAAAATGCAAATAAATTTTGGTTGGTGTTTTTGTAATAAAGTTTCATCTATTAATAGCACATGTTATGCATTACATCACGTGCGTCACCTAATTTTGCACGTTAATCCAGTTTTTCATATGAAAAAACATGAAAAAACGAACTTTGGATGTGCTGCTGCGCCCTTTTTTCAAGTTATAAAAATCAATATAGAAAGGAACCCTTTTCACCTTTTTTCACGCAACGATAATCCAAAGAAAATAACAGAAAGGGATATAAATGTTGGGAACAGCACAGACCAAATGTCAAGTGGTGGCGCTTCTTTAATTCTGTTTCTGATTTACTTCGCTGCGATAATTAATCGTAACACGAATTTCCATAATCATTTCTCCGGAATTTACATTAATCATATTAAAAAGGAAATTCAATTAAAATAATCACAAATTTAGAGCAATCATCAAAACCCCCAAATGGTCTATGAAAATCTTGCGCAGCATACACTTACATAACAAATAAAATAAAAAAATAAAATAATAAAATAATTTCTTATAATGGATTTATTTGAATCGTAAAGTTCCTCCGAGTCAGATATTGCTACAAAAATGGAACTAACTAATCTCCGCCTTTTACTACCTTTTAAATAGCAAAATAAATACAAAATAAGGCCAAAAGTTAAAGAATCTGGAGGTCAACATTGTTTAGATAAGCAACTATTAAAAGAAGAATGATTTTGCAGTGCAAATTCATAACTTTAAATAAAAATTCTAACCCGATTTATTCATTCTTTCTACGTTTTGTTTAAATAAGTGGGTAAATTGTAATTTTAAATTATTAACCTTTTCCCTCGTCTTTTCTCTCTCATCCCTCATTCTTTGAAACTTTTTTTACTTTACGTTTTCTACATAAAAGGCTACCGTTAAATTCTCTTTCTGTAAGAGTCTCTTTTTTTATAGTAAAGAGTCATATACAGAAAAAAGAAGACAAATTATAACAAGCTGATAGATATACAAGGACTTGATTATAAATTTTCCTTCTTTGTCAAATTTTTAATCTTTTTTCTGTAAAAGAGGCTTTTTTTTATGAAAATGTACTCATTTAATGGAGAATTTGATGATTCTTCTGCAACTCGCAGTGCGAACAATATTTCCGTTATGAATAAATTAAATGATTATTTTAAAGTCTCCTTGGGAGAACCAAAGAGTAATCACCTTAATGATGCGGAAAGCAATACAACGACGACAAATGCAAATTCAACGATTACTTCTACCTATGGGGAAAATGCCAGCATTTCCTCGTGTAATGACAAAATGCAGCAACAAGATGATGAAGCTCTACATGGTAAGTTAAGGTGAAAAAGTGTGTATTTGTTTTACTGTAAAATTGCTTTTTTAAAAGATATTAACTACTAATTTTAATTCTCATTAGATTCGCAGGATGACGATGAAGCACGTGCATTTAAATCCCAATTTGATGAAATTAAATGTGCAACAAGAATGCTTGAAAATTCTAAAAATAACGCTTATAATAGATTCCAAGGATTTGCTGGGCGGGTACCCACACCTTTACAGAGGAGAGTTGGTGGTAATTTTAAACCTTGAAAAATTATTTTTCGTTCAATATACGTAGCGTTTCATTTTCTTATGTCTTACTAATTTAAATAATAACACGTTTTATATTATTAGAAACGGGACCAAATCCGATTCATCAAAGATCGTATTCTTACTCAACGTACCAACAGCAAACAAATCGACACATGTTAAAGCCCCAACGAAGTATTTCATCTATTAAAGGATTATCTCTTAACGGGAATTCATCAGCATATTCCGTCGGCAAATTTTACTCGAATCAAAAGCCTTCAACTCCATATACTTCCCATGGGTTTGATTTATTCGATAATGCCGATGATTTATTTTCTCCATTACGACTACAATTTGATGATTCAAATTCTGTCAATGGAAATGATGATGCGTTTATGAGATATAAGGATATAGAGAATGGCGGCGGTAGAAGTTTCAATCCCAACAGATTCGGGAATAATGGTTCCGTCGGTAAGTCTCATATTTGAATTTTTGGCGTAGTTTATTATATAGAACGACCTCTTAACTCTGTCTTATGATTTCAGACGAATGGGATGATTCTTATCCCTCCACACCAATTTCCAATGGTCAATTTACCCCACTCCCACTTACTCCTTCTTCAACATATTCGAACCGATCTCCATACCTTGCACATCAAAATTCATTGTTGGATGATGAAGAACTTATTGAAAAGGCTAAGCTCCTTGAAGATAAACAACGTTTAATTTTAATTCAACAACGTCAATTAGATAATGCGCTTGCTGCTTTAAATGAAAATGAGGCTAGATACAAGTTAAATAACACAACTCCTCCACCTATGCCTACGCGTGGGAATTCAAGCTCGTCTTTACAAAAAAATTCTTTTGGAAGTAAACTTACTGTTCCTCCTCCACGTTTCCAAACTTCTCAAGATCCTATTGGACCTCCAACCAAGAAATCCGGATATAATACCCCTCTGCCCATAACTCCTACAGAAAGCAATAGCCCTTCTCCTACATTTTCATTATTTTCCAATCCTCCAGCATTATCACTTAATCAAAATTTGATGAACCAGCAGCAAAATTATAAACAAACGATGGTATCTGATAAGAATAGTTTTGAATTCAATCCATTTGATGAATGTCTTACCCCCTCAAATTCTTCACCAAAAACCAAAAATAATGACGATGGATATTTTAGCTATTGTTCTCATCCAAATATTCCAAGCACTAAGAATAATATTTGGGCTGAAAATAATTATTTTTCGTCTCATCAAGAAACAAAGCGTAATGATTTTTATTCAACGAATTATAAACTTTTGTCACCTACTATTCCGGCATCTCCGGCTAGTTACTTCCGTGCTTCGCTTTATTCTTCACCGGTCAATGAATGTGAAGAGGAAAATTTATTTGCCGACGAGTATTTTAGTTGGAACAATAAGAGAAATTATGACAATAATTTTATCCTTTATCTATGATATTTATATTTTTTAACGTTGTTCTTGAGTGCTTTGGTTCACTCGTGAATTTATTTATTCAGTGGGAAGAATATGAGAAATGGGTTGTGCAATAAATAATGATACCGCAACTTTTTATTATTCCAAGCAGTAATTGCATTTATTTTATCTTAATACTTAATATTACTCTTATTTACATTATATTTAATTTTAATTGTTTCTTTTTTTGTTATTTTAAACTAACTATATTATGGGTTATAAATTTTATATATTTTATTGGGTTGGGAATTAATACATTAAGCTTTTGTTTCGCAATTTATAGATTTATGTTTGAGTTTTGATGATAGTATCCCTTAAATGATTAGTTAAGTTCGGAAATTATTTCCCAATTTCATATTTAAGTATTTAAGGGAGGTAGTAAGAGTCTTAATTGGTATTCTGGTAATTACTATATTTGCTCTTTATATATATATATATTTAATCTCTACTGATTAGAACCTCGCGATAGCAAAACTTTCATCAATTTGCATTGTATTTTTTTTTTTTTTTTTTTATTTTCGTCAAATATACGTACGTATAAGGCGCAATATGACAGTATTAAAGGTAGTACGTGCACGTGATTACTGTCAGAATAAATGAATAATAAATGTTCTCATATTAATCGTAATTTAATTTTTTTTTTTTTTTTTATCATTAATTCAATATATAGATTAAATTCAATTAAATAAATTATTGATATATTTTATATATATTTTTAACAGTAATTCGCAAATTATTTTTTTTAAAAAAAAATAATTGTTATCATTAATTCAATATATAGGTTAAATTATAATAAAATAAATGATTACATAAACTACATTAACTAAGTAAAATTTAATTTTTAACATTTGTAAAGATAAATTATTCCTCCATCCCAACATCCGCCCTTCTGCCGAAAGTGTTTATTATTTCTGATGCTCCTGATATGCCAAGATCATTGGCATCATTACATATATAGGTATATCCTATTTTTTCCATAATTGACCCAAACTTGCGTCAACCTTGCGATTACATTGAATTGTCTATTATTTTCAAAACCGGATATTCTTCCGTAACCACAAGGTTGTTGTGAGGGTCAATGTCGTAACTTAGATGGAAATGGAACGAACTTATTCTTTGAGATCCACCTTTTAATAAGTGGGTAATTTTTTTTTCAACATTGAGGGAGCATAATTTATAAACGTTAAATGGGAAATCGCTTGCCCAAGGATTTTTGAATATGTTTCGGGTTTCATTACGTTGTATTTGATCTTTTGTTCGATAAGTTCTGAGTCTTGACTCCCATAATGAATGCCGAAATTTTATTATTTATATAAAATTTATTAATTATATCAACCACTAGGATTTGTAAGAACATTTTACAATGTAATTCCATTCTTTGTAGGTTAGCGCAAACGTGGAATTTTTTTTTTTAAACAATAAGTAAGCTTTGACATTTATTTTTTTTTTTTGTTTTGTATTGTAAATCAATTTAATGATGAAAAAAAAAATAAGTGAGGAATTGTCTTTTATATAAAAAAAAAAAAAAAAAGAATCAAACAATCATAACGTCATGAACCAATTAACCTAAATTTATCTGTATGAGAATTTTTGATGGGAATTCCTGTTTTTTTTCATTCTGTGATAAGGAAGCCCTGATACATAAGAAAAAATTTTTTGCATGCATATCTCCTTTTAAAAGTTCTACTTTTAGGTTTATTATTTATGATATATTTGTCATATCTCTCGTAATAAGCAGTTTTCTTTATTCTACAATTAAACTATTTTTTGACTGCTGCAAAAGCCACATATGATAATCTACAATCTAAATATATTTTTTATATTTTAATCAAAGATAACGATAAATTCCAAAAAAGTAATAAATTTATCAAAGGATATTTTTGCTAGTCCATGACATTCGTTTCGCTCTGTTCTAATTAAATTATTATAAAATTAATATTAAATTAATAATAAAAAAGTGTTTTAAAAAAAAATATAAAAAAAAATAAAAGAAATAATTTTAATGCTAAAATTTTGTTAATAATTTAAAAATTATAAAAAGTTTATTATAAAATCTTAGCCCGTGAAAATCGTTTTTTTTTGTTTATCAATTGCGCCCAACCAATAAACCTTCCAAACAAGTTGAAATGATACAATATGACCGATTTCTGATCTACTGATCCAATTTTGACGAATTTTAGCTTATTGAAATCGCCGCATTGAGGAGAATCGGTCAGTTTTTTGGTTTGGTACATCGAAGGTGTTACGAAAAGGAGTGGAGTCAGGTGCAAATGATTGGAGTATGCCACGTGAACAGGTATTATACTGAATTTTTGTAAGTTAGGTCAGTTTAGAATTAAAAAATATATACTTAACATCATTTCATGTGATAACCTGACTCCACTACTTCGACCATAATCCCCGAATATTGTTATTGCTGCGTCCATAAAGTATGCAGATCATTTTAAGAATTATTACCGTAAGTACAATTTTTTGTTTTATCACAGTTTATTAAATATTTCTCTTAAACTTCATATAAAAAAATTTTTTTCTCGTCCTTTTATAAAATACTTTTGCCAAATATTAATTTCATATATTCTAAATAATAAATATGGATGAAAATTGTGAAATCATAAAAATCATACCTCAAAAAGGAAATGATAAAATGTTCATGGTTTTTTGTGAAAAAAGAAGTCAGAAAAATGAAAAATCATGTAATAACAATTCTTAAAAACATTACAATCATACCTATGCTTATCAAACTAGTAGTAGTGATATTGCTAAAACTATTGTAGATATTAAACAACAAGCTTTAGCAACAAGAGATCAAATTATACAAAATATTATTATAAACATCTTTAAAGAAATTGCTTTTAATTAATATTCCATCCTAAAATGCTCTTCAAATGAAAATTAAACATATTAGAAGGATAGTAATACCATTACAACCAAAAATTCTAGATGAGATTAATATTCTTATTACACTTTATTACACTTTAATTGGAGATTTATTTTTAATTATAGAAATAAAGAATTAATCAAGAAAAGATTCTTTTATTTACTACAAAGACAATATTTAATATTTATTACAAACAAAATTTTGGATTATAAATAATACTTTTAAAATAATTCTGACTGTTTTTTATCAACTATATACAATGTATACTTCTATCAATGCAAAAAATAACTCTAGAAATTTTATTAAAAGTATATATATATTAATAACTAATAAAATCAGAAAAATTTTATAAATGATTTTTTTAAGATTTAATTAATTTCACTGAAGATAATAAATAATATTGAATCAAAACTATTAACAATTATTACAGATTTTAAAAAAGTAATAATTAATGTATTATATGAGACCTTTACAATAAAAAGGGAAAACCTGCCAGAAAAAATCAATTTTACTTTATATATCAAATATGATTTTCAGGCTGAAATATGTTCAAATTTAGCATTAACTTGTTTTTTATTTTTCTGTCAGTTTTTCCTTTTTCTATTGCAAAGGTTCTATATAATAAATTTTCTAAAATTAAAAATTAAGGATTTTTTTTTTATTTAGTACAAAATAGTTGAAGAAAAATACAAGAATTTGGATTAGTAATCTAATGTGATAGTAATCTAATATGATACTAATAAACATCTTAATATTATAATATGTCATTTATTTGCATTAGCATTTTTATCATCAGATTAAATTTCTGCAGCATTTGAAGTATTTGATATCTTAAAAATCAAAAATACCTTCAATAACAATTAATGTAATACTATGTCTATAAAAAAAATATGATAACAATTTTGAAATAATAATATAGTTTATATTCCTTCTCTTTTTCTATTACAATTATAGTTAGTATATGATTTAATAAAATTCAAAATATTATATATCAAAATAAAATTAAAATTTGATATTAATTTATCAACTTAAAAACTCAAATACTCTCATTAATTTTTAGTAAATCTTACTTGAGAAATAAGCAATTTTGCTTTTAAACATATCCCTTAAATTATAGAATTTCGCAGGCAAATTTGCCTGCTTATTTACTATAAATTCTTCTCTAATTTACTTTTATAAATAATTAATATTTTAAAAAAAAATTCTTTTAAATTAATTTTATAAATATATATAATATATTATAACAAGTTTTCTCTTTTAATTATATAATAAAAAATTTATTGTTACTTATAAACTAAAATTTTGTAATTTTTAAAAAAAAATTATTTATAAAAATTTCATAATTAATCTATGATAAACTTTTTAGAATTTGCTTTAACTATATTAATCATAATATAATATTATAAAATTACTTAAAAAGAAAAACCTTTATTATTATAATTTTTATAATTTATTAAGAAATTTTATGACTTTAATGATAAAGTAATTCAATTAGTACGCAAATATATAAATTTTTAAAAAATTATTATAATAAATTTTTTGAAACTTAATTTTATAATTAAATTATTTTAAAAACCTTTTAAAAGACTTAAAATCTTTATTACTAAAATTGATAAAATATATATTAAATTATATTTTTTATATAGTAATAATATTATTAAAATTAATATTTTATATTTTATAAAGAAATTAACAATTTTTTTTTAATTTTAAGGCAAATTTTGTTTACTAGACAATCTAAGGGTTAAAATCTTTTGAAATATTTTTTTTTTTATTAAAAATAAATATTAAACATTTTTTTTTAATATTATTAAACAAATAATTTTTTAAATATAATTTAATATTATAAGTATACATGAAGTCGAAATGTTTCAACTTTGGAGGTCAAAGTCAAAATGAAAAGTCAAAATGGTCGAAATTATGTCATATCACATGATTTTTTATTCATAGAAAAAACAAAAAAAACAAAAGATGTACAATCTCGGTCAATATCGCACTGATTCATATGAAATAATTACCATTCAATTTTCCGCAACTAGACGAATCCAATGAGCTAACATTCATAGATTTTGGATTAGCTTTTTTTTTAAAGACGTAGTAATGCATTTATTTATTATAAGAATTCATAATCAGTTAATAAAAACATGAAAATCCCTAAAAGGGTACAAATGTAGAAAAATAAAAAATGCTGCCTAATAATCATTATTAGTAGACTAACTCTAATCAGACCAACCGGTTGTCCCATCAGGCTTCAGTAACAATCACTAGTAGAATTACCATCACCACCTAACTAAAAAAGAGAAAAACGTTTAACAAATAGTTATTACTGCGTAAGGAAGAAGGACCATTTCCGTCTATGAACAAAAGATTTGGTCATAAGGGAAATATGATCGTATTTGTATTCAAATAAGAATAAAAATGAGTTTGAATAACTGTTAATCGAAAAATTGTTAGAAGGACTATAATTACGTTTTTTGCTATATTTTGAGATGTTAAGTGATCGTTCTTTTTCTATAGTAGCTGCGCATCTAGATTTCCAGATAACTTCGTAGGATTGATCAAA